AAAAAAAAAAAAAAAAAAAAAAAACAAAAACAAAGACATTAAAATTATGTCATTTAAGCAAATATCTCTATACTAAACTTTGTCCCCTTAAATTTCTTATTTTTATTTTCGGATAATTGCAAAAAAAAAAAAATAAATAAAAAAAAATGATAGTTTAATTTTGAAATGTTAATTTTGCCTATTTTGAAGAAAAAATCCCTAATTTTCAGTTCCTTCTTTCTCTTGGCTCGCGCGCACGGGTGTCCTCTGAACTCTATCGACGCTGAAATCTTGCGACGGCGTTGATCCTTTCCTTCCATACACGGCAGCTTCTGTAATACATACATTTTTTCCCCTCCTATTTTCGTCAACTCCTCCGCTAGAAAACGCTCTAAGCTCTCGTTCACCAAGTACCCGCCGTCACTGATCGTTTTCCAGCCACTCTCGTCTCTTCTATTATTGTCTTACAGCAGACGCAAATCTTGAAAATTCTGTGAGAAAATCCCTCCGAGCTCACAGGTTAGAAAACATCATCTCTTTTACGTACTTTATCAATCTTGAATACTCCATTATAACATAGCGACATTCTTAGTTACTCCAGGACCTTCGCTAATGTTCATAAGACATCGGGGTTTTCACCCAATTCTTCTTTGTGGCAGGAACTATGAGGGAAGTCGTGACTGTTCAAGTTGGAGAATTTGCGAACTTCGTTGGTTCTCATTTCTGGAACTTTCAGGTACACCCCTCCCCGTACTGCCCTATTATCCTCCGTTACGTTTATTGCAAGTATTAGTGGAATTGATACTGTTAATTTCAATTTGCAAGTACTGAGCAATACTTCTTCAAGTTATATTACTTGAATGATTCCCAACCACTGGGATTTTAAATTGTATATTTATTTCTTTTCTATCCTTAATCATGCCAAGCTAAATTTACGTCAATCTTGATGGAAGGATGAGTTGATTGGCCTGGCTGCAGACCCTCTTGGAGATGCTGTGTTTAAGCATCAACATCTTAATATGGACGTACTCTACCGTTCTGGTGAGACACAACAGGTGGAATATTTGACATTATGTTGTGTAAATGAAAAAAAAGTTATAGAGTTGTCACTTCACATCTTACAATGTCGTAAGCGTACTAGTCAACATACAATGCGTAAATGTCTTCCTTTTAGTTAATGCAACTAATGTATTATTCCATGTGTTGATTAAGAGCTTCATTTTGAGACAAAGTACATCAGGTATGAGTTTATATTTTCTGTAACAATTCATGCTTGCATCTTATTCTCGGAATAGACTGTGATATTTTCCCAACCAACCATATGTGTCAAAGTTGTAACATATTTGTGCTAGGTTTTTTCTACCTAGATTAACTTTCTTCACTAATGGAGCTAATGTTCTGTACTTTTTCCATCTGTTTCACTTTTTTTTCTATTCTCTGAATAATTTGCAGGGTGTACTTACGTATACTCCACGCCTAGTTTCAGTTGGCTTTAAAGGTATGTTTCTGTAATCAATACTTGAGATCAACTTTGTCATAAAGTAATTTTATTTTTTTTCTAGGTATTAGACAAGTCCAATGATGCTAATACAATTTTTGAGTTGCAAACCACCCCCACCCCTGGTTCCCTGTTACATAAATTATTTGCTTATGCATTCTTTCCCCACGATGTGCTATTATTTGCGAGTATTCATTTTTGGATGTACACTTCCATTGGTGGTTTTCTCCTTCATTTTTTTCCGCGACAATATGACTTATTATTATTATTGCTTCCTTTAAGTTTGTATACTCTTGCTGTCTTTAGAGATCGAAAATGAATTCTCTTTTTTACATAAACTGATTGACTTATAATATGCAGGAGGCTTAGGATCTGTAAGTGCACGTGGCACTCTATATAATGATGATGCGGATACACCATCTAATATTGTCACATGGTGAGATCTTCATTATTGAAGTTGAAGAGTGAATATTTCTCCCCACATTTAAAGACACCCATGACAACAATACATTAATGTGCATGCATATATGATATATGTATTCCAATTTATTCGACTTCTTCGTCTACAAGATATGTGGACATAATTTCTTTTTCAGTCGATTTTTCTAGCTAACAGCAGAAGCTCCTAGATCGATGGTTTTACATTGCTCTTATGCGGGTATCAGCATGTAGATAGATGCACATATGTTTATATTAGATAAAAAGTTCTGACTTCTAAGGATATTCTTACATTATGAATTGACTTCTTGTTACTTACAGTTGCAGTGCAATGAACCAATAACTCCAGAAACTGTGTAAATTTTCCTATATTTATTCTTAGCACTTAGTTTTTCTATAACTTTCTAGCATAATGATCTTGGTTAAATTTTGTTTCTTCAATCAGGCAATGCACTATCTGGCCTATAACTTCATTTGAAGGCTTCATTATTATCTAGTTTGAATTGTAATCTTGAAGTAAATTTCTGGTGCTTGATGAAACTGAATGTGTATTTTCTATTCTGCAGGCGTGGTAATGTTGCCACTCAGCATACTGAATCACGTAAGAAAAACTTGTTCTTGCAAAGTTTATCTGAAGAAGAGCAGGAGAACGTAGTGAGTGGTCAAAGTAGTGGTCGGGGAGAAATTGAGGACAAGGATATAGTCGAATGCCTAGAAAAAGATGTCACCTTTTGGACAGACTTCTCTAAGGTTCACTTCCACCCTCAAAGCTTATATCAATTAAATGGATTATGGATGGACGTTCAGGAGTTCGACAATTATGGAATTGGAAAAGAATCTCTCTCTTGGGGTTCGCAAGGTGAAGAAATCGATGAGAGGCTTCGTTTTTTTGTGGAGGAATGTGACCATATCCAAGTACGTGTTATCAATTTTTCTTTTTTGCTTTTTCCTTGTTGGCATTGTTCAAGTGTGGAATTCGAATCTACAACTCCTCTTTATATGCCATTACATTGCTGTATTATGTTTGTTAGTTTTTTGGTTGGATATTAAACATTGGTACTTAATTTTTACTTGTTTCCAATCCTAAACTGTGAACTCCATATGCCACTGGGTCTTTATTATAGTCGATTCTTTACACCCAATATGATGGGACCTTTAATACAAAATTTGAGCTAGAATGGTTGCACTTTTCTTCCTTGTTGAGTAATGGTCTTTTGTTGATCCTTATAGGGTTTTCAGTTCATAGTTGATGACTCAGGAGGTTTTTCGGCAATAGCTGGGGATTTTCTCGAGAGTGTTGCAGATGAATATTCAAACACCCCAGTTTTACTTTATAGTGTTCGAAGTCCTAGCTCTTCTAACATGCTTCGTGAAAATAAGAAGCAGATAGTTTCTAGAAATCTCCATGATGCAGTTTCATTTGCAAGACTATCATCTTTTTGTCAGCTTTATGTGCCAGTTGGTTTGCCAAGTTTGAGCAGAAGTATGTGCCACTATGGCTGGAAGTTTTTCCTGCATATCACTCTTTTGTCTCTATTTTTTTCCCTTTTGACATTACATAGCTGCTTAGAGTTTCAAGATTGCTTTGGGAAACACTTCCGTTTTCTCATTCATTGTTTTGAAGTCACTAGATGCTAAGATCTTGATCATCAGCAGCTCTTTCCTTTGGATAATAAATATAAGTTTTATTTTGCAATTTGTTCTGGTGGAGATTCTCTTCTCTTCTCTAAGTATCTTCTGTTTCTTTTTTTCTTCTTATCTTTTCAAAAATATTTGAACCTTCACCCAATTTTTTTCTCTCATAATTCTCTGTTATAATATTGACAATCGTTCTTACATTTATCAAGGCAAAGCTACCACGCATCTCTGCATTGATGACCAGAAGCCTTACCACTGTAGTGCTGTATATGCTGCTGCTTTACACTCCATTGGGCTTCCTTTACGAATGGAAGCCCATGGTGCAACCACAGATTCAAATTATGTTTCCGGTGCAGTTCATATCAATGACTTGGTAAGGATGTTAGCTGGGCAAGGTAGGCAAAATATGGTAGCCATTTTGGATGTTGCTATGCCGGCGCCCTCTGTCTTTGGTATATACTCTGCCATTTCTTTTTACTTTCCGAAAAGAACTTTTTATCATTGGTCTCATGCTTCTTCTGCAATCTGTAATACAGGAAAACATTTGGGCCAATCATTCTTGGAAAATTTGCAGCCCTTGACACCCGAGGTAACAGAAGATGCAGAAGATTTGCAGGCACTGGAATACATGGCCGTGCATGGAGTGTTCGGATCGGGTATGTATTACATTGAATTATTACCAGGTATTCTTATAAGGCTTAGTCAAGATGCACTGGTTCCGCATTTGAAGACGTGTCTTCAAAACTATCTTGTTAGAAGGAAATATAGAAAATGTGACGTCTCAATCTAACGGTAAACTAAAATGTTGTCGTGTCATTGTTCTAACTTGATTTTACCCCTTTAGGAGGGGACCGGGCTTCAGTCTCCGAAGTAAAGGATGAAATTTGTGCTGCTTATGAAGGGGAAGCAGTAAAGCCAAAGCACTGCCATCTGTCAACAGCTCAATGTCCTCTGCCTATACCCTTGCCTTTCCCTTCAATCTTTGGAAACCTGATTAGCCAACATGGTCAATTGTTGACCACTCCAATCTCGGGTGCTTTGTCAAGGGGATCCCTTGACGTGCATTCCATTCCCATTGCAGCTCGGCTACGTTCTAGCAGTGCTATACTGCCATTTTTAGAGAGAAGATTAACGAATCTTCTAAGACATGGAACGGTACAAGGATCGTCTGCGTCCCCATTGCTTAGAAGTTGGGGGTTTGGAAGAGAGGAAGTAGAAGACATGGGAGAATCACTTTCAAAAATGGTTTTGGCGCTAAATCCACATTCACTATCCTCGTCTGATTCTGATTGAGGTATGTACGACTGTTATGAAATTGAAAATGTAGAAATTTGTGAAAGTGGGATTGAAGTAGTCTGTCTGTTTGATTTATAGTCATGAACTCAGAATGATGAAATGCACACGAGAACATGGGTTTTTATGTGATTCTTGACATCATGTAGCTAAGGATTTTTAGAAACGGGCAGCAAGAAAGGTCAACTGTCAAGCTGCCTGCTGTTTTGTTGGATTTCATGTCATGGTTGTGCTTGGGTCTGATTATTAGTGTAGCATTTTCTTTTCTTAGAAATGATTAGTCTGGCTAGCTTTATTTAAAGATGTATACAGAAACATAAAATTAAATGTTTTCTTGATGAATTTTAGTTGGTATATTATGAAACTAATTATGTTGACTATGAACTAAGTATGAAGTAAATAAAAAATATAACCAAACGAGAGCTTAGTAGACCGAAAGACTAGACTTGTTCAGACTCGGGATGATATGAAATCTTGTTCTTTTTTTCCTTTAAGAAGATGACATGTAAATCTTAATCTTAGGATATTGTGGCAAGACATCCGATCATGACATCCAAGTTCTTACCTTTTTTATCCTTTTAAATAATAATTCTATTGATTTATTAATGTTGTGAGTTCTAGAATAGAGTTCGTCCATATGATTGGACGAAAGTTGACTTTGACTTTTCCATATTCCTTCTAATTCTGACCCATCTTTTCTAAACCAAATTTCTCATACTAATACCAAAATAGTTATATCTTTTAAGACCCAAGTTCTGATACTATCGGAAAAAAATGTGACAAAAATCGATAACTAAATTAATATTAAAATTAGGGAGGCATCAAATATGAGATGAATTAATGTTCCAATCATATTGAAGAAAAAATGACATTTATAATTAAGTATTAAAAAAAATATATATAAATTGGGAGTGTAAAGTCTTAATTAAGACGACTTGAATTTAGGACATCGTCAACATGGTGCTGTCAAAGTCTACTATAATTTTTGGGTCAACGAAATTAATTTTATTCCATATATACTTATAGTGAAATGGTTGTTTTAATTCACCAGTATTTATCAATCTCTTTTATTATTATTTTTTTCTTCAAATTTTCTAAATTATTTATTCGCGAAAAGTACTCGTAACATGCATTTAATTTATCAAATTGTTATTCATCGAATATATTATAAAGAATTTAATATTGAGACAAAATTTGTGAATAATTTGTTTGTTTATGTGGAAGTGGAAGCTTGTTAGGAGTTTTGATTTTGTTAGAGGAAGAGCTCATTATTGGCCTCTCAAGGGAGACCTTCTTACCGTTTGGCGTGGAGGGAAGTTGCAACCCGCGTTCTTCCTCCTCCTCCATACCGTTCCCATTTCATGATTTGGATTACCGTGATTGATTTATCACCATGGGTTGGTTGCGCAATATCTCCTTTACTACTTCCTCCATGGTGAGAATTCCGGCCACTGCCACCGGTGACCATTCCCCGACCAGAAAGGCTACTACCAGAGACTCCCACAATCATAATTATCGGGGAGTTGTTTGGCGTTTTGGCGCCTCTAAACATTCCCGCCATAGGAAGCTTCGGAACTTAAGCGGACGTGAGCGTGCCGCTACTTCTTTGGCTAAATGGTCCGATACTACGCCCGAACCCGACTCATTGTCAAGACTGTCGAGTACTTCTGATGAACATGCCGTGCCCTTGCCTCTCCCGGAGGTTCCCCCGATATTTCAGCGTCGTGAAGGGATCTCGAATTCGAATTCTGCTTGTGGAGACGGGGATTGTCCTCTTCCGTCGCCCAAGGATTGGCATGGCCGAGGCGGGGACGACCGTGATGTAGATAGATGTAGAACTGCACCTCCTCTTAAGACTGGAGGCGGGGATTCCATTGGTACTCCGATTAAAAGGTAGCCGAACTGGAATGTCCTTCCTTCTCTGTACTCCTAACGTCGTCAAATGCCGTATTTTATGCTTTTTCCATTTCTCGGTTATGCTTGTAGCTTTTTGAGTTTGACATCTCTGTTTCTAAATTGAAGACTATTTGAAGCTACTGTGAGCTGTGGGTGTATGGCTTTGAACTTTTTAAAGAATTGCACAGCGTAGTGGATAAGGCACCAATGATCGTTTCAAGGATCAATAGTTCAATCTTCCACCTGCAATTGTTGAACTAAAAAAAAAGAAAAAACCCTTTGTTAAAATGTTAACCGCTATGTTTATTGTTTACACTGTTTAGTGCGTCTCTGCTGTGTTCTCGTGCTCATTTGCATCGAGGTTTCAAAAAGTTTAGGGAAAGCTTCGCGTCTTTTTTTTGGCACGAGTGTTACATGTTCCGTGTTGGTTCTATGCTTCTTGTTTCATTCTTGTTTATTGAGGATGGGATAAGTCGGTGTGATCTTATTGATATGCCTTGCTGTTTGGACAATGTTGATATTGTATCGTGTTCTGTGTTTCCACTATAACTTTATACTTGTTATTATGACCAACACTTGCTCTCAAATTTAATGAACCAGTATATCTGATTCTGGGGAGAGGCAGAAGAAAGAAGATCAGATTGGGACAAGGTCGTCTGGGAGGGTGAATCAATATGCCAGACGCTTTCCTGAAGCATCTCAGAATAAATTTTGGATTGACGTTCCCTGTAGGAGTGCTCCTACTAGTCCTTTTGCAAGTCCTACACTTAGTCCCCAAAGAAATAGTTCCAGCAACCTTTCAAACTCCCGTCATGTGGCTCCGTTAGAATATCAAGGCTGGTCTGCACCTGAGCTACCATCCTCAGCAATGATGCGGGGGGTTCCTCCTGCATTCTTTGATGGCTCCACTCTTAGCTCTGAGAGTTCTCCCATGCATAGCCCAACAGTTAGAAATCCCCACCAAGATCCCAGAAGTCCAACAGGAGCTTCATCTCCATTGCAAACCAAGATTTCCCTTGAAACACATGCTCAGCGTCGTGAAGGTTCTGGTCCTGTCAGTGTCCACCCATTACCTCTTCCACCTGGAGTACCAATACCTTCATCGTCAATCTCAATGACTTCACCGTCAACCATAATGCCTTCACCATCAACCCCAACGCCTTCACCATCAACCCCAACGCCTCTACCATCAACCCCAATTACAGAAGCTAACACTAAAGCTGAGCCAATCTCAATGAAAAATCAATGGCGGAAAGGAAAACTTATTGGCCGGGGCACATTTGGAAGTGTTTATGTTGCAAGCAACAGGTATATGAGTTTCGTTGGAATCTTCTGTTGTTGTCATCTGCTTCTGGTGACTAACTATGTTTTTTCCCCCTTTTTACTCCCCCAAAGAGAAAATGGAGCTTTATGTGCAATGAAGGAAGTTGAATTATTTCACGATGATCCGAAGTCAGCTGAATGTATAAAGCAATTAGAACAGGTAATTTAAAAAAAAAAAAAAAAAAATTGAGTTGTGGTCAACTGTTTAATAAGCATAGTTGCGTACTCTTTAGTTTTTTGTCACAAACCCTTTGTCTTTTTGTGTATGGAGGAACTTTCTTATATGATTGGAGGTTTTCCTTTCAACTGTTTTCATATTATTGACCAACTCTTGGCTAACAAATTATTGTTTAAGCTGGTAAACATGTATAAAGTATGGTTCCGAAATTAAATTGTTTAAGTGCTTAGTTTTATTTTCTAACATCTTAACTCCCATTAAAAATCCAGTTTTTTTTTTTTTTTTTTTTGTAATTTATAATTTGGATTTTTCTAAATAAGATAAGAAATTAAACCAGAGATTCGCAATAATTTGTTATACTTTGTTTATTCAGTGAAAGTGATACATGTGGTGTGATTAACAGTTGAGTGAATGTAGTACCATATTTTTTGGTGTTGTACGACCCTGTATCCTTGTTTATGTAGTGCCTTAGAAATGATCCTTCCTACGAGATATTACTGCTTCTAGCAAACTTAATGGACTAGTCTCGTTAAGGATATGAAGATAATAAGTTCTAGGTGTATGTTTTGTTCATCTTTTCTTCATGTTATTTGGTATTAGCTAACCAGGAGTCTCTTTGAAAGATTGAAGGTATGACTATCTGACGTCCTACTTGCTAAAACCTGATATTTAAAATAAAAAGTTTTTCTGTAACATATGCTTTATTGAGGCAGGCTTTAGTTTGGCTCATGTTATGCTTAAATGCTGCCATCGGCATTCATCATCCAAATGGAGTTAATGCTCTGCTATTTTAAAATATGACATAACTTCATATTTGTCCTCTGATGGCAGGATGACATTTGATGCTGTTTAGTTTTGCCTCTCTTCTTCTAACTGTCACAGGAAATCAAACTTCTGAGCCAGCTAAAGCATCCAAATATTGTCCAGTACTATGGTAGTGATTTTGTGAGTACTTGTTTTGCTTGTTACGACATTTCAAAGTTGTTCATTTTTATAATCTTATAACCAAATATAATTCTTACTCTGGGGTCTATGTAGGTTGAAGATCGATTATATATTTACCTGGAGTATGTTCATCCTGGTTCAATTAATAAATATGTTCGTGAACATTGTGGAGCCATGACAGAATCTGTTGTTCGAAGTTTTACTCGTCACATCCTCTCAGGGTTGGCCTACTTGCACAGCACAAAGACTATACATCGGTAGGGAACATTCGTGTTGATGTGTTTGATACAAAGTCTTGAAGTTGACATGTAAAATCAAGATGACCACAAATATTCTATTGAAAATAAGAAATAAATACTTGAATATTTAATTTCTATCTTCAGTTAGTTTAATCGTGGAAGAAATAATTATGATCAATGGTCTGTAAGCTTATATTATGTTTATGTGACGATATCTGTTTGGAGATTTAATTTTTCCCTCATACAGGGACATTAAAGGTGCTAATTTGCTTGTAGACTCTTGTGGGGTTGTCAAGCTTGCTGACTTTGGAATGGCTAAACATGTAAGTTTGAGATCGAGTGCCAATTGACTTCTACTATTCCCCCCTTCTTTTAGTATTTGCTACCCTTTCCCCTCTAATTTCTGAGTTTTTTTTTTTTTTTTTTCAAATTATATCCATACATTTTTATAAATTAACGGCATTTTTCTCTATGGATTTGGTGTATATTTTAGATTTGCTGAAACCATGGTCTCATGTGTGCACTACTTATATACTTGTCACTTTAGGTAAATAGGTCTTTCAATTTGTGTAACGTTAGTTCTAGGCACTCTCAACTTTAGTATCATTGTCACACAGTCTAAGAATTGGAGAAAAAAAAGTCATTTTTGTTTGTAAGGTACTTACACATTTGTTGGTGCATGATCGTAGGCATTAATATGACTTTCAATTGCTATTAAGAGACTTTTTCCCCTTTTTAGAACTAGACATGAATGATGCTGATGTATATCTCTACAGCTTACAGGACAAGTTGCTGATCTCTCTTTAAAGGGAAGTCCATACTGGATGGCTCCTGAGGTATCTTTTTATTCCTACATCAGATGGGTTCTTGGCTTATGGTTTCTCTTAATGACAGCGATCACTTGAAATATTAGGTCAACTATATGACTTTATATAGTTGGATTGGCTATTTATAGATGAGGGATTTGATTAAAGTTTGTCTTTTCCTGCAGCTCCTTCTGTCTGTGAAGCAGAAGGATAACAACTCTGATCTTGCCTTAGCTGTTGATATTTGGAGCCTTGGTTGCACTATTATAGAAATGTTCACTGGCAAGCCACCTTGGAGCGACTATGAAGGGGTAAGTGTTGGATAACTTGGCATGTGCTTGTAGCTGCATCAACACGGATAGAATTTTTATTTTTTCGACTCATATGCCATTTGATGAAAGTTGAGCGGTGGAAGAACTTATATCTGCACCACCAAGGCACCAAGATTTCTTGGTTGCTTGGTTGCAGCCCAGTATGGGACTTGGGACTTTGAATAGCGATAATTGTTTCGAAACTCTAAACTTTATTAGGTAAATGTGACACATTAGCTTTTCTCCATCCTTTGTTCTGCGCTTTTCACACCTAGAGCAGGTATATGTGTAACGTAGTAAATGTATGTCTATTCTAGAACCATTGTCAGCTTATCATTATTCCATAACGTACAAAAGACATTGCCGACCTAACAGAACATTTTATTTGCATGTTGAACCGATAATTGGTAGATATTTTTTGAGTTCGGTAGATTTTACTATTTGGTTGGTGGTTACAAGTTCATCTGTTAATACAGGCTGCAGCTATGTTTAAGGTAATGAGAGACACCCCAACAATACCTGAATCATTATCATATGAAGCCAGAGATTTCTTAAAATGCTGCTTTCAGAGAAATCCTGCAGAGAGGTCGACTGCTGCCATGCTGCTTGAACATCCATTTATAAAAAACTTGCAACATCCAGATGCTCCATCTTGCTATCAGGCCATCGCTAGATCGAGTTTGATGGTAAACTTAACATAGTTACAATAGTCCCCTTCCACCCTGCTTAACTTGTCATTTTTCATTACAGTGTGGTTTATGATGCCAGGACAAATGCTACAGCCCAAGTAAACAATATTCGAGTAAACTTGATCAGTCTTCCATGCTTCCAAGCTCACAAAATTCCAAGGGAATGTTAGCGGCCGAGAGGCAAGAGTTGCCTTTTCCCTTGCTCTCCACTTCTCATTTGTAATTGGACCATGAATGTTAATGCATTCATTACAATTCTCTGCATGATTCTAGTTCATACATTATTGTTTTATTCTTTCCCAGTGTGATTGGCTCACTCTCTCATCATGAAACCTCTGACTTAACTGTAATGTCTCGTCATTCTCCCCGTTCTACCCTTGAGGCTCTTCCAGTACTGTCACCTCCATGCTTAGTTCACAATGTGCACCATCTCAGTTCCCCTGCAAATGCAGTCGGCGTTGTAAATCAAACAAATAAGAAGAGCCACACACTAATTTAGCCTATGAACGGGAAGTAAAATGGTTGTACCAGGCCTGCCTCTGGCTTTGTTTGTACCTTCCATCGATGTGCGTTTGACTTGGGTGGCTAAAGTATAAAATCAGCATCATGACAAGAAGCCAGATTCGGGTGCTGCGTCTAGTAGGCGAGTTTCTGGCATAGATTGTTACTAACACATGTAGTTGTGTCTTCTTTTGAAATGGAATAGCTTCTGGTCTGGTAGTCTACTCCACAATGGGAGTTGAGAAACAATTTTGTATACTGTTTTTTTTTTTTTCTCTCTTTATTTTTCTTCTCATTTTAGAGCTTCAGTTATGGCAATATCCACTGGTCATTCCTTGGTGTTGGCGTGGGAAAATCAGCACTTCCATGTACGACTTCAAACTGAATTTGTAGATATTAGAGTGGTATGATAATGGAATCATATGGTCGAACAAAGGTTCCATTGAAATTTTATTAGTTTGATTCCGATGGATATGCAATTCTCCTTGTGATCATGTCTTCCCTTTGTTTCCGCTCCTGTACAAGTTTTCCATCTGTACTTCAAAAAGTTGGTGATAAAAAATGATTGCATATTTTAAAAGTTTTCGTTTAGCTTAGAAGATGAACTAGAAAAAGTCTTATGGGGGTGTAGACATTATTGTTCAACCAATCAAACTGTGCAAAGTTGCGCTGTGGTCTTAAGTAGAAGGACCAATCTACTAAATATGATCTAAACGATGAGGGAAAAAAGAAAATAAAGGAAGAGAGAGAAAGAGAGTATGAAGAAATGTCATTTTAGCTTTTGTAGTTTTTTTTATTTTTTGCATATCATTTTTCAACTGAATTGCCCCAAGAAAGTGCCTTCATTTGGCAGTGGTGGTGGAACCACGTGAAGTTCCATCATTCGAACCCGATTCTGCTGACACAGATAGAGAGAAAAAAGAAAGAAAGAAACAGAGAGAAAAATGGAAGCTCCAGCTCCACAAGCAATAGAGGTTTCCAGCAAGAACCTTGGGGTGGAAGAAGATGAGCAAGATAAAGCCCTCAATGAGTGGTAATCTTTCAGTTTTTCTCACTTTCTGTTCTTCCTCTTCAGTGATTTAAATCTCCAAATTAATGGGTTATTGGGTGTTGCAGCTGTTCTTGCTGCTATGACTGCTCCCAAAGCTGGCTTGATTTCTTGTGCTGTTCGGATGTGTGTGGGTGTTAGATGGTGAAGTAATTGGATTTTGTCCACAAATTCTGAGACGACGATGCTGCAGCCTGCAGTAGTGAAGATCAGGAAGTAGGAAGAATCTGTTTTTTGTTTACTGTTTTACTCTCACTCTGTTCTCCCTAGATTTCTTTACCTCCCTTTTCCTTTCTTCTTCAGCTTAGACTTCCTTCATCTTCTTGTTTACTGAATTCAATCTAAATAAGCTACTTACCAAACTCTTGCTCCTCTTCATGACTTTCTTTTCCTTCCTTCACTTGAACGGGTAGAGATTCCATCCTTTAATCTCTCTATCAAAGCTATTTATCAATTGAGCTCAAGTCCGATTGGCTATAATTTTGTGATTCTGGAAATTTTGATGAACTGAAACATCATAATTTTACGGTTTAAAGCTACAACGGATTTCATTCTCTATCAATATGAACACAGTTTAATTAATTGCAGCATATGAAGAGGTAGATTAGATGTTTGAACCTGTCAAGTTCACTCGTTAACAAAATGAAAGAAAACCCATTTGTAATCTTAAATATGCTATACATTTTTTATGAGACTTATAGACTAGATTCGAATGAGAGCTATGATTAGGAAAGGATGACTAGTCACTCTCTATACTAGTGAGGATAAAGTATATTGGAAGGACTCCCGTTGGTTTGTAGGGATAGTCTTCATTCTTAGAAGTGAGACAAAAAATTAGAACATCATCGTTTCTGTTTGGTTTTTTAATTTTGTGAACAAAGAATCGTATAAAAAGGCAAATTAAATGCAGAAATTTCAACTCAATTGCTTTCAGACTACTACGGTCTAAAAGCAAAAAGTTAGAAAGAAAGAGGGCCTTTATTCATCAGAAATCAATAAAGCATGATGCCCTTGACTCTAGAAGAACACAAGTCATCCATTTTCCCCATATCACTTTTGAAATGTTTCTACTCAAACAATAATTCTACAAAGAAAATGGTAAAGTTTGAATCAATACTGTATAACGCAAATGGAAGTTTTTCTTCATAGACCACACAGACATTCATGAATATGATTCATTGGAAGTTCATATAATAATCTTCATATTGAACCATACGTCATAGTGAGAAAAATGGGGTTTATGGTTTCTGTGGTCTATATTGCTCGGAGGATAAGCAGAGGTATTTCCTATGGTCGGTCTGCTTGGTAGAGTCTGATTCAGCAGCACAGATAGCAGCCAAGTTGGATACCAACTTTCTGCTAAAGTTGTGAATTAAGTCATTAGGTGCAGTGCTCAAATAGCTATCTACTCCCACATTCCCAGTTTTTAAATTGCGTTAATGGATCATAGACGCCTATTTTTTTTTACCTTTTCTGTGCATGGCATCAACTCCTTTTAGGTCCTCATATGCATATTCAATGAAACCATTCATATTCTTCTGCCTCCCCCATTAGTTAAAGTCCATATATTAATAGAAAATTCCTCTTCCTTAGCATGATTCCTGGCGTTGTGCCTTGTCCTATCTTCCACTATTGGACTACTTACTGATGGGAAGGCATTTGGTGGCAGCCCATTATTGGAAACGAATAAAAAATGGTGAGCCTTTGAGTGCAGGTTTTTCTTCACGTGATTGGAATCAAGTCAAACTTGGGAGTGTTGTGTTGTAGATTACTTATTATACTCTTTTTATCCCTTCTTGAAATGGTGAGCCATGAAAGTGTGATGTGCATCACCTTACCACTATATCAATTCTGAGTTTCAACGAGATGGGGTCTGCCTTAGCTCTAACAAAATGGTGGGTTGTACCAAACTCAATCCAAAAAACTATATTTTGAGTGGCTGAGCCACTAATTCTATTAGACCTGCAATAAACTGTCATTCTTGAACATTCTTTTTCTGTATATAAATAGCTGCTATTCCACACTGATTCTAATACAAAATTAGCAATCATTTATTGTTTCTGCTGCTTCCTCAGATCTATTATACAGACATGAAGGATAACTCCTCCAAACTTATTGTTTTCTTGCTTATAAGCTTCGTTTTCTTGAATCACCTCCTTGTGTCCTCACAACTTGATTATAGATTCTATGATGACTCGTGTCCCAACCTAACAAGAATTGTCAGATATGGCGTCTGGATGGCAGTTTCTAATGATACTAGGATGGCTGCTTCTCTCTTACGCCTTCATTTTCATGATTGCTTTGTCAACGTAATCAATTTTTCTGGATGATCATAGAGTTGTTTTTTTTTTTTTTTTAAACTCTGTTTTTTTAGAACATATATGTAAACTTGTTTGTTTCTGGTGTAGGGCTGTGATGGATCATTGTTGCTTGATGACACTAGCTCATTTAAAGGGGAGAAAAATGCATTGCCAAATATGAACTCAGTTCGAGGCTATGAGGTCATTGATGATATAAAGGCTGTTTTAGAGAGAGTCTGCCCATCTGTCGTGTCATGCACTGATATAGTGACTCTAGCAGCTAGAGAGGCTGTCTACCTTGTAAGCAAATTTGTGGCTCACACATCTCTCTCAAACATCATGATTTTGTGTCTTTCTGAACCTTACCTTTTCAGGCTGGAGGACCCTTTTGGCCCATTCCACTCGGTCGGCGAGATGGCACGACAGCAAGCGAGAGTGAAGCCAATCAGCTGCCATCACCGTTGGAGCCATTGGAGAATATCATTGCAAAATTCACTAAAAAAGGGCTTGATGTAAAGGATGTTGTCGTGCTCTCAGGTCACCTTTCTTATGCCCCATCTTCGTACTTCCTTCAGCTTTAGATTTACAATTCTAACCATCCTGTCCCGACTGATGTTCAGGTGCACACACTTTCGGGTTAGCTCGGTGCATGATGTTCAAGCATAGACTGTTCAACTTCGATGGCTCTGGCAATCCTGACCCAGAACTAGATGTCATGCTGCGACAGAATTTACAGAGCGTCTGTCCCAATCATGATGACTCCAACGACAAACTGGCCCCCTTGGACACGTACACGATCAGCAGGTTTGACAATGTGTATTACAGAAACTTGGTGAACAAGTTGGGACTTTTGCAGTCAGACCAAGCTCTGATGAAACACAATACAACTGCTCCGTTGGTGGTGAGCTACAGCAGGTACCCATACCTGTTTAACAGGGACTTTGGAGCATCAATGGTGAAGCTGGGCAATACTGGAGTCCTTACAGGCCAAAATGGGGAAATTAGGAAGAATTGCAGGGTGGTGAACTAGAAGATGATATGCTTTTTTGTAAATTAAACCAACTCAACTCTCTCTCAATAATAAAATGGCTGTTGGCAAGTGTTGTTGATGATTCTGCTGTTGCTTTCTAGAGTTTTGTTTGACTGAGTAGTTGAAATTTGGGCCTGTGTTCAGCCCAAAATCTCAGCTTCTTCCGACACTATTGGAGGGTAACTGCCCCATAGATATTATCTGCTTTGTCGCCTGTAAAGCATTGTTTAGGGTTTATGTGGGGACCAGAATCAGATCTGTTCATTCCTATCCTACTCAAGCAGTCCCTAGGATCCAAATTTTATATTCACCTTATCTGTCTGGTTGACTTTACATTTCTCTTCATTATTTTATATATAAATCTGTGACAGTCAAAGAGTGTAAAATTAAAAAAGTAAATAAAATGAAGGTATGGTTGTGTAGGAAGCAAAGGGGAAGAAGGGGGGGAAAGACAGCCGTTTTTGATCTGAGGCTATGTTGAAGCATTTCACGTTGTTTTACATTATAGAATTTTAAATCAAAGCACCTCTGTTTCCTTGTAGCATATACACTGATTAAACTGTGCATTACATTTTGTAAAGAACAAAAATTGACATTTATTGTACTTATCTTCATTCTGTATTGTAACTGTGTGTTCTATGTTTGGTATACGAACTAAGCAACACATTCAACATTCGTACAACATTGAGGATCGGAGGAGTGAAACACAAACCTAAACACTAATCAAATCAAAGGATGCAAAGATTTATGTTTCATCTGTGTAACAGCATTCTGAAGCTGAAATTATATGGCATTACTTGCACTAATTGTGAGACACCCTCTCTTCCTTTCCTCTCAACGCATTTAACTGCTTCAATTCTCAGCTCATTTGGAAGCTGCATGCAAACCCAATCCAACAGTGATTCCAAATCCTTTGCGAAGTCAAGTAAGTACCAATCCAAGACCTTTGGAATCATCAACTTGTTGTTTGTCTTTGAAATCCCAACTGCTGCCTGTAAATACTCCCTCTTGGCTACTTCTAACTCCTCTTCAACTTTAGATCCTGTGTACACTCTCACCTTCATTTTACACCAAGTTATAGATCAGTAATATTTGATTCAAAGACGATATCTCTATTGGTAAGAGGCTTTCTAGATGGAGTTCGAAGTAAAATCTTGAGCGGAGTTATATTAAGATGATGAACAATATCGTAACTAACTTCCATGTGTAAATGTAGCATACTTACAGCAGGAGACGACCAGCTTCCACAGCAGAGTGCAAATGTGATCAAGGGTTCGGAACATTCCAATCCGAACAAACTGCGTGCTCTCATCTCGTCGTTCTTTACTGCTTTCGGACAGGTCTGAGGTTTATCGACGAAAATGCAGCAACTACTTAGAATCTGAAAGACTTGAGAAGAATACTGGGAAATGTGAGTGTTGGAAAGGATAGACTTACGAACTTCAGATGATAAGGAAGCCTCAAGATGAAATGCTCAATTGTTAGTGCATTTAGAAGGTGTCCCCCCACAACAATTGTTGCCTGTTATAGAACAAAACTTTCCAATTTGAATGTGATGAACATCAAGAACCCGACCGAGCTTAGGCTTACTGTTAAAGTCGAGAATCTAAGAAAACTTAATGGAATTCAGGTCTGTCTTTGATGGTGGAAACAAGATGATTACCTTTTGCATCAATGTTACAACTCTTTCATGAGTCTCAGGAATGCCCTGCTCTATAAATGCCTGAAGTCACAATGCAGCTGCATTAGTTTCTTGATTAAGGCCACTAATTAACAAGTTAATGAAGATTTTTATATTGAGCAATCCTCCTGACATATAATGGTGCATTGGTAGCTCACATTCATCATGCAGGAATTGTAGGTGTTGATCCAGAAAGCTAGCTTTTCCTGATGGTTAAGACCTGCCAAGTTCACCGAGGCGAGTCTTCGGAACAAGTTTCTGCGCGTTCGTTGAATTGCTTCATTAAGTTAATAAAACTAACAAAAGTTTTCAGACAAGACAAGACATCCAGAGAACTTACTTGAGTCTATGAATTACAAAAACTGCGTTAGTTGAACGGTTGAAATCCACAGAACTAGCTTCGATTGCACAAAGATGTCTGTAGGAACCAATGTCCCTCGGTTTGAAATCTGAACCGACATCGTAAGGA